GTACAGGCTCAGCAGATTTCTACCCAGGTTCCGCTGCTCATAAGGCTGCTTTTGAGATCATCCAGTAATTAATTGCTGGAGTGCTGGGAGTGTGTGGTGCTAATAATGGGCACCACGTGAGTGGGGGTACAAGTGACACCCACCTGGCATGGAGAGGCTGCATGACAGACCCAGAGTGTGCTTTTCACTCATGTTGTGGGACAGACAAGGGGTTTGCTCCCCAAAAAACAGCTGAGTTCACGTAGTGATGGTCAGCTCAGCCAAGAAGATGCTCCAGAAGAGCCGACAAGACGCAAATCCAGTATGTGCTGATTAGGCAGCAACGGCTGCAAATCCCACAGTCAGCTTGCTCTGTTTACTCATGTTTTTCTGCTTTTATTTTTCTCTCTTCAATTTGAATTCCCAAGGAGACACTAGGCACAGTAAGTGCTGATGCAGCCCGCACTGGAACGCTGTGTGGAGGATCATGGATCCCACCCGCTCCCCTCTGCCCCCCTGTCCCTGCTCAGCCCAGCACAGCTGCTCCTCTGGGCTCCGGACAGTTCCTTGCTTTCTTTTCATCCCATTACAAATTGGAGTATGGCCACTGAAATGGTGGATTTACCTCACTGAGAGCAGTACTTAGCCCCAGGTGTTGCCAGGCTGAGATAACCCCATGCTTGCTGTGCGTGGGGTGAAGGGGATGGGCTGGGGATCCCCGGGACCCCAGGCTGGGGACTGAGGACATTGCTGGAGCACTGTGTGCTGGGGTAGCATGGATGACTCCCATCACAGAGCTCGTGATGGATGTGGCAGGGAGCCCTGGCTGTGACACACCCACCCCATGTTACCCACATCCCCAGGCCCACTCTTCACAGAGACCTTCGCTCCAGAGCCACTTCCCAAGCAAAGGTGAACATAGAAAGAGCCGGTCAGGGTTTAAATCTGATAAATCATCAGGGATTAAACCCAATGGATGGATTTGGAGCTGCTCTTTATGGCTTTGACTGGGCAGGGGAAATGGGGGGATGTCAGTGCACGCTCAAGTGCATCCTGGTGTGTTGGTCGAGTGCATCCCCTCAGTCTCCATCCCCTCCATGCCAGGGGATCACTGGCAGCACCTCTTTGCCTGTCTCAGGCTCTGGCTGTGGGCTCTTCAGTACCATTAGAGTCACTGCCGGCCCCACACCATGGTGAGTCGCTCGGTTTCTAGGTCAGCTCTGCTGGTGGGGCGATGCCAGCCCTGAACACTGGCAGAGATTTCAGGTCTTACTCAGTCTGTTTTGCTCCAAAGTGACTTAAAATGCATTAGTGTCACATGTGGCAGCTCAGTCCTATCTCTCTGTCACTTGTCCCATTGTCAGGGGACATTCCTCTAGCAAAGCTGACTGGCTTTGCCTATTTTCCCCCACAGTTTTTTTCTTGGTGCTGGGAATTGATTCTAAACATGGAATTATGGAATCACAAAATGGTTTGGGTCAGAAGGAACCTTTAAGCTCATCTTCTTCCACCCCCTGCCAAGGGCAGGGATACCTTCCATTAGACCAGGCTGCTCCAAGCCCCATCCAACCTGGCCTTGAACACCTAAAGGATGGGGCAACCACAGCTCCCCTGGGCGACCTGTGCCAGTGCCTCAACACCTTCTTCCATATAGCTAGGCTAAATTTTCCCTTTCAGTTTGAATCACCTCAGAGGGATGTGTCCCTCTCAGTGTTGGTGGTGGGTAGCCATGTGCTCAGCCCTCTGTCCAGCATGTGGGAAGAGGAGGTGGGAGCGGGAGCATCTGCCAACACAGGAGGAGTGCCAGGCTCCAGACCTGCTGTGGCCACTGAGAGGAGCCTGGTCTGTGTGGTGCCACCATGGAGAAGGTCTCGGCAGCCCATCGGCAACCCCGAGGGCTTGACTGTGTGTCTCAGCCCAGCAGTGATCCCAGCTGGCTGCTGCAGGTGCCCATCCCCTGCCCAGTCCAGGTGAGGCTGGTGAATGGTGGTAGCTTACTGAGGACCCATTTTCCTGCTGGTTTGACATGTGTGGGGGCATTTCAGAGTGGGTTTGACTTGGTGCATGTGTGCCTGCATGTGGGTTTGTAGACACACATGTGGTTTGTGTTTGTGGTGCACAGGGACATCAGGGCAAGGACCCACCTCTGTGATTAGAAATGATGGTAGATGAACAGGGGCAATGAGAAAAGCCCTGAATAAATCACTGGAATTAACACTCTTCAGTTTTGGCGGTCTACATGTGGAAAGCCTGTCTGTGATAAGGCAGAGCCAAAGGACACCCTCTTGCTGCTGTGCTGGGCTGAGCCCCGCGCCCCTCAGAGCAGCACCGGGGCATAGCAGCAGCAGCTTGAGCCCCACAACACCACTCACACCCCCTGCACTCCTGTCCCTAGGGCTTTCCCAGCTCCAGGGTGCTTCCCATCCCACACCCAGGGGTTCCTGCTGCTTGGAGGAGACTTGCAGCTCATGAGGACTGAACCCCTGGGGACTCAGACCCACTCAATCAATAGGTTTGTGTTGCATGTGGGGACCCTGTCCCTTGCTCTCCTCTTGGGGATCAGAGCCTACTCTACTCCCATCTCACAGCTGGTTAAGGCAACAAGACTGACAGCATTTCCCAGAGTGGACAGCTTCCAGTCTGGTGGATGGGCTGGGGACTGGCCATGGAGCATGACTGCAGCCAGGTGAGGGCAAAGTTGTGTTTGAAGAAACACAGGGACCAGGAGATCACCTCGTATTTGTAGTTCCTGAAGTTGTCTTGAGCCCTCAACCTTGGTGCCATCTGCAAACAGAAACAGAGAAATCCATGTTTAGTCCAACTGCTTGTTTGGTATTTGGAGAAGGTATCTGGTCACCAGCAGGTAAAGAGGTGCAGGTGTTGAGATGCTTTGTCAGAGCTGTGGGGGGATTTGATCCCACAGGTCCTTGACCCTTGGGGTGGGGGAAGTTCAGCCTCTGTCCCATGGTGTCTGTGTCCAGGTGCTCCCCGCTCTAGTCCCACAGTCCCCAGGTGACCTGGTCCCTTCACCCCGTGGAGCACCAGTGACTCCTGCTCAAGGACGTGGTGGTGTTCTGTTTTTATCACCTTTTCTCACTTCTTTCCACAGTTGTAGAGAAATCACTGATTTGTATTTCAGGCCAGAAGATGGAGGTTTGGGGAAATGACGAGCGTTTTATAAAGCAATTAAAACCCAACCCCTATAATTGCTGTAATTTATATACACCTACAAAATAACCAGCTGGTGTGATCCAGGCTTCTAGCCTGTTTTATTTGTTTCAGCATATCAAACAGATGAAAACGTTCCATCTGCTTTTCTGGGATGCGCAGAGGTTGGCAGTGAGGGGCTGGGGGGTGCAGTGAGGGGCTGTGGGATCAGTGAGGTGCTGGAGGAGCAGCAAGGGGCTGTGAAACCATTGCTGACACCAGTAAAGCACCACTGATTGCCTCAGCTCGCCACAGCGGGAGTGGATGCGTGACGAAGGGATTGGTGCTGAGGGGCAGGATTTGTATGTTTTTATGGATGGGAGGAGTGATGCTGTCCCCTGGAAAACTTGGGATGCTGCAAATGAAGTTTGGGCTTGTGTGCTTCAAAGCTGTACCCCCAGCTCCCCCTCCCTGCCCTTCATCACACCCCAGAACATTAAAGCAGATCAGTGCTAGTTCAAAGCTGGGACCTCAGCGCAGCCGAGCTGGTGATGAGGGAGGTAATTAGCAAGTGAAATGTTCAATGCTGTAGTGAAATGATGTTTATAATATTGGGCTGGGGGGGGCCACGAGCAGCTGGCTTTTCCATTATCCATACAGTCCTGCTCTGCGAAGCCTTTCCCATGTAATGAAGGCTCCCTGGGTTTTACTCCATTTCTCCAGCCTGTTCCTGTGTTCTGCCTCACCCGCCCTTGGCCAGCAATTTGCAGGGTTGCAAACGAGTATTTTAGGAGCCAGTGGTTTTACAGGAATGAGTGCTCTGCCTGTGTTCTGTGCCTGTGATTCAAGTTCTCCTGGCTCAGTAGCCCCCAATTACCCGTGTGTGTGGAGAGGGGCCATGTTTATGGGTCTGCTGGAGTCGGATGAAAGCCTCGGACTGCAGTTCCTACCCAAGGATGAATGAACCACCTCAGGGATCCTCTTCCAGCCCTGGAGTTTAAAATATTAATAGGATATCATTTCCCGACAAGCGCTGCAACAGGTAGCAAGTGCTTTGTTATAAAACATTCCCATTAGCGGAGCATGCAGTTCCAGCAATGCTGTGTTCCCGGAATTACTGACACCCACAAACTGCACATCCCCCATGTGGCCACAGATATTGATATTCTCTCAAACGGGCTCTGTCTCTATGCTCCACTGGATCCTCTTCTGCTCTGGGAATATTGCAGCCTGCAGGCAGCAGATCAGGCCCTGGGGATCAGGTTGGGATCTGCTGGCTGAGATCTGCTGGCCATGATCCACTGGTCATGATCTCTGGTCAGGATCTGCTGGCCACAATCCTCTGTCCATGGTCCACTGGCTGTGATCCACTGGCTGAGATCCGCTGGCTACCATCCACTGTCCGTGATCCACTGTCCAGGATCTGCTGGCTGAGATCTGCGCCGGCAAGCAAAGGGCGGCATGACTGGGGACGAGGAAGGGCAGCACGGGACAGCTCAGCTCTCCCTGCCTGTGCTGACATTGCTCAGGCTGAGGTGGTTGGCAGAGGAGGTGTCTCCCTCACCCTGTGCAGAAAAAAAGTGTTGATGACAATAGCCAAAATTTGCTCTCCAAAGGAGTGGCAAAGGGCAGACACCCATGCTGTCCCCTCCAGCTGGTGACACCCGCGGTGTCAGGCTTGGTGGTTCCCCTTCCACCAGTGTGGGCAGGAGCTGCTAAGGAGCCCCAGAGCCTGTCCCCAAAGTTATTCCAGTGTCACTCCGTCAGACGGTGTGCTGGGTCGTGGAGGGTCTTGGTTGCTGGGGGGGGCACCCAGAACACTCTGGCTTTGCTGATCTTTGTGTTTTATCTTTCTTCCATTTCTGGACCCACAGCAAACCCTGGAGACAAATCTCACCAACCTGGTTAAACGCAACAGTGAACTGGAAAACCAGATGGCTAAGCTGATCCAGATCTGCCAGCAAGTGGAGGTGGGTGAGGGCCCTTGGAGGCCTAGGGGAGGTGCCCAGGGCAGCTCCCAGCTCAAGGGATGGGATGTATGGATCACTCCAGAGTCCTTTCCTGGGGGCTACCCTGGGAGCAGAGTTGAGTGTGGCGGGAAGCATTGCTGAGGACTTGGGGGAGCTGAATTGTTTCGGACAGTTTAGTCTCAAACAATGGAGGATGCAGGGATGGTTCCCAGTGATCTGTAGGTTCTGAAGCAGTGTGACATGACTGGGAGCTACTGGGAAGAGACATAGGCTGCTGGGCTGGCTCCAGTCAGGAGAGCCTGCTGGCTGCTCTGTGCTGGAGTCATCAGGTGCTTTAGGTGGAAGCCCAGGTGACACCGAGCATGGAAACAGGGCTCATCAGCCAGGTGACACCAAGCATGGAAGCAGGGCTCAGCTGAGTGACACCAAGCATGCAGCAGTTCCTTGAAACAGTGTCTTCCCATAGGATAAAACCCCAGGCTGCCACCAGGATCACAGCTGTGGATTGAGAGGGAGTTTGCCAGTGCCCGAACAACCATGATGGGTGTTTGCTTCACCCTTGGGCACCCCAGTCCTTGTGGGGGATGCAAGTCCTGTGCTTCCCCCACACATCCCCAAGCTGCCCTGTGGGCCTGGCAGACTGCAGGATGCAGGGATGCTGCATTGGGATGTGGAGATGTTGCAGCAGGATGAGCAGATGTTGCGGCAGGATGCTGTGGTGTGATGCTGCATCGGGATGTGGGGATGCTGTGTCAGAATGTAGTGATGCTGCAGTAGGATGCAGGGTTGCTGCAGCAGAATGCTGGGATGCTGTGGAGAGATGTGGGGATGCTGCCAAGGGATGCAGGGATGCTTGGCAGAATGTGGGCATGCTGCACAAGGATGTGGGAATGCTGCACTGGGATGCTATGATGTGATGCAAGGATGCTGCGGTGGGATGTGTGGATGTTGCAGTGGGATGCAGGGATGTTGCAGTGGGATGCGGGGATGATGCAGGGATGCTGTAGGAGTATGTAGGAATGCTGCAGCAGGATGTAGGGATGCGGTCGTGGGATGCTGCAGCGGGATGCAGGGATGCTGCATGTGCTGGCCGGAGCTGTTTGCCTGCAGTGAAGCACCCGGGATGTGCTTGCCCAAGGAGCTACAGCTTGTCCTTCACCACCTGCATCCCAGAGTAGCTGGGACTCGGGGGCTGGGAAGGTGTTTCCAAACCCCTGCGGTTCCTGCAGGCAGTGTCAGTGCTTTGTTCTTTGCTCCTTCAATAATGCCCTGATGATCTGGCGAGAGGAAATGAGTGCAGAAGCCCTTTCTGTGAGTGCCAGCAGGGCTAAGTGTACTGCCAGCAGCTGGCAGCCACTGTCACATCGTGCAAGGAGGAGGAGAGGGCTGAGATGCTCTGAATTTCCAGCCAAAATAAGGAACAGAAAAATCCCACTTGGCTCTGCAGCACTGCTGGCCTTCCACACTGATGCTCCTGTGTCACTCGCGTTGTCCTGCTTCTCTCTGCATCACAGTGGAAGAGGGTTTTTTGGCTCCCCAGTAGGAATGGCTTTGTCAGAGCTGACTCTCCTGGGCTTCCTCTTCTCCAGGGCTCAGTGGACATGGAGTGATTTTGGAAAAACAGACAGCCAAAGGGTGTCTGGCAGGGAGAGAAGGAGCCAGGACGTCTTTGCAGAGCTGGTGACAGTAATCAGCCCTTGCTGCTCTGATGGACCACACTGTGGCTCTGAGACTCCATCAGGGATGGAGCAGGGATGTGGCTGGATGTCCTTCCAAGCCTCCTACTCTGAATCCAGCTCTAGCATTTTAATGACCTGACCTGGGATGAATTGAAAGCCGTTTAGTACTTCTGTCTGATCTTGGGAGTCTGAGAACTCTAAGCTGTCGTTTTCCACATAGTTTGGAAGTTTTCAGCTTTGTCAATTGCTCTGCTTAAAATAACAGTTCAAATAACATTTCTCAGCCATGCTGAAGGCACAGCCAGGCCCTTGGAGACACCTTCGCAGAGAGGACAGAAAAGTGTGAAGCAGAAAATATCTCTGCCCCCCTATGCTCCCCCATCAGTCTGATTTCAGGGAATTTTGCTTTCAAGCTATTTGTGCACATGGCACATAGGCAGACACATGTGATTGAAACATACTCTGCTCATCAGTCACATTCAGTGTAAGTGTCGTGGTATGTCTGGAGAATGGTGCCACCAACACCCTGAGGGACAGGGATTCACCCTGGAGAAGGGCACTGCAAGCCACTGAGCCTATGTTGCCCATCGAACTGACTCTGGTGCATGGGGAGTGTCCTGTTCCTGCACTAACAAAGGGCCAAATCCTGTGGCAGCGATGGAAATGTGGACCAAGGAGAGTGGATAACGACCCTGTGGAGAAGCTGAGTTTGTAAAATAGAGATGGTACAATCCATTGTCCCTGTTGCAGGGCCCAGTAGTTGACGCTGCACATGCACTGTGGGGTGGTGACCTCTGTGCCATGGTGGCTGCAGGGCTGGCCTTGGTATGAGCTGGTGGTGTCCCAAGACCATGGCTGCTACACAGACAAAAACCTGTTGAGAGTTGCAGAGCTGGGATGGGGTCCTCTGCTCCATCTCCAAGCTGCCAGGATGCGGAGGAGGTTTGCCTGTGTGTGAGTCGTGCTGCATGCTGAGATGCTGTTCCTCACCCCCACGAGCTGCAGGATGAGCTCTTCCCAGGGCTGAGTTTATTCCAGGGCTGTGTTGTCCCTAGCACATTCCCCCCCATCATTGACAAGAGTGAAGTATCTTTTCTCTTCCTTCTCACACCTTAAAGCTGCCCCCATGCCCAGCTTTCCTACAGCCATAGCACCCACTGAGTCTTCATTCCCAAATCCAGCATTTACCTGGGAACTGGTTCATCCCTGCAGAGTGGTTTGGCAAGTGTCCAGGTGTGTTTGAGCCATGGATTTGTCAGCAGAGCAGTGCTGGTCTGCAGTCTCCCCTCCATGCTCTGCTGGCCCTTTGTGGGGACCCTCACATCAAAAATGCTCATTTTTGGGCAGAAGGCAGCTGGAAAAGGGACTCTAGTGGCTTCTGCAAATTCATCTGTCTTTGGCCTGCTGGAGTATGAGTGTGGCTGAGGGCAGGTTTCTTGGTCTGGGCAGGTTTTCAGATTTAGACTACCAATTACTGCAGATCTATGTTGTCCTGTAGCCATCCTGGAAGGAGAATGCTCCAGGCCTGAACTCTGAGACCACCACACTTGTCAGCACCTGGCTGGTGGGATGAACCCAGGGCCCCAGTCTCCCCTTCTGTCCCTTGGACCAACTTCTCCTTCTCTCCCTTTGTCATGCAGAGACCTCAGCTTCATCCTCTCTCACCTTCATGTGACCCAGAAACCAAATGAAAGTGGGAGTCCAGAGACGGTGCTCCTGGGAAGTTGGGGTCACAGCCATCCCCATGGTCATGCAGCCTCGAGGGGCCTGGGTATTGCCAGCTCACCACAGCCAGGCTGCACGGCAGCACTGCCAGAGCAGACTGCTGCTGGCTCCAGATCCTGGGCCCGTTCCCCCCCCTACACACACTGCTACATGCAGCAGATTGGGAAGATTTTCCGCTGTTTTTCCTCCATGGAGCTCTCTTTGCAGGCCATCAGCTGTCTCCTACTCCAGTGTTGCATAATCTGCTGGCCAGGTTTAAAAAAAGATCCTGTAGCAAAAATGTGGTTCACTCAGGGCTGCCTTTGGCCTGCTCTGTGTTTCACAGGGTTTTAGGAGTATGAAATGAAAACTGATTTCTGTACTCTAGTGTACTTTAATTAAATGGTAGGGCTCGATTCCCGTTCCATAAAGTGCATTGCTTCTATCCTGTCCTGTCCATCCCCCCAGGGATACTGGTTTTACTGTCTTACCTGGAGGCAGAGGACTGGAACCTCTGCCTGTGCCCTCAATATGCTCTGTGTGTGACCCACAGTGAACACAGCCAGGCGAGTGTGTTGTGTGTCCCTCCTAACACTTGTGTGTTGCTGTTCCTGCCCAGGTGAACACAGCCATGCACGAGGCAAAGCTGATGGAGGAGTGTGATGAGCTGATGGAGATCATCCGCCAGCGCAAGCAGGTCATCGCTGTCAAGATCAAGGAGACAAAAGTGAGGGGAGATGGCTCATGTGTCCCAGTCTGAGGGTCCCCTCCTGCACCCATGGGGTGGGTGCTGCATGGCCTGCCCTTCCTCTCCAGGTGCAGCACTCCAGAAGCTGGTGATGCTGGGATGTTGCAGCCACAGGCAGAGGGGCTGCAGCAGCATGTGTTGCCTTGCTGTGAAGGATTTGCTTTGGGCAGCCGTCAGTGCACACAGGTTCATCATCATGCTGTGCATAATCTGGGTGTCCCTTGCTGCTGCTGCCCTCCTGCCATCCCAAATCCAGGTGTCCCTCGCTGTTGCTGCCCCAGGGCTCCTCCTCAGAGGACAAGGCATGTGCGAGATGTGGCCAGAGGAGGAGCAATGCATTGGTCGCTGTGACAATTTAGTGCAGGTTCTTGGATCATTCTAGACAGCTTCCTCGGGGCTTTTCACCACTGCAGTCCTAATAGAATAATGTGGAATTAATATTGAAGGACCAGAGCCCAGCGCTGTAGAGAGGGCAGAAGCTGCACATTCTGCATTGCAGCACAGCCTGGGGGAGCTGCTTCCCACCCTTTTCTTTGTGGGGGTATTTGGACCCTTCCTCCAGTGATTCCAGGTGTTTCCTAGTGGTTTTCATGTGTGGTGTCCCACCCCAAAGGGGAAGGGAGCACCCAAGATTCATAGATGTTCGTGGTCAAAAGGAATGACAAAAGTCAGAGGGTCTGCAAAAGCTTACAAAGCTTTATTAGTAAATTGCTAATACTTTACTTGGCATGGAAATTAGTCTAAATTAGTCCCTGACCTCCCGGTATAAGCACATGATGGTGGGTTTTGGATTAAGGAGCAGGGCAAAAGGGAGGAGAATGAGAGGGACATGGATTAAAGAGGGTGAGAGGGGAAGAAAGAGGCATCACCAGTCCTGGTTCCAGTGTTGATCCAGCTGATGGGGTGTCCAGGGTCCTGGGGGAACCTCCCAGGCTTCACGGGGGGACCTTTTCATAGATAAGTTTTCCCTGCCCTGGAGAGAAGTTTCTCACTGGCTATGCAAATCAATTCACATGCACAGTCTGTTCTTCTAGACTCTTCTGGAAATGAGTCTGAGGCTTCAGGGGTCTTGGTCTTGATCATACCTACAGTCCATGCTCACTTCTCCACCTCACTCCTGCACTGTGCCATATTGTGCTTATCTCCAGGAGCCGTATGGCTCCTTTTCCAGCCACAACAACCCTTGGTTGTCTCCAGAGCATCTCTATTCAATGAATATGAGACAAACATATCAGCCCCTCATCTTCTGGCCTTCTATGCCTGCAGTGGGGAGAGGCCGGAGGGCTGGGCTGTAGCTCTGAGCAGTGCCCTCGGAAACCTGCACAAGCCCTTTGCCATTCTCAGCAAGCTTGGGTGTGCATTGGGGTCCCACTCCAGTGCCCATAGCCAAGCTCCAAATACAGATGTTTCCCAGGCAAGGTTTAGGAGCAGGTTCCCCTGCGTGCAAATGTCAGAGAGCCACCAGCATGGCTCCAGGACACCCTGGCAGCAGTGGGAGCTTTGAAATCCTGCTTCTACCCCAGGCACTCCAGGGAACATATTTTATGTAACGGTGCCGTCTGCCGGTCCATCTGTCTGTCTGCTTGCGCTTCTCACCCTCTTTCCTGACAACTCCTGGCTGTGCTGTCCAGTTCCAGCCGTACTTGGCAGGAGCTGGAAGCTCCAAGATGTTGTTTTCCTGCAATTGGCAGCTGGGTAGAGGCAAGGGGCCCAGATTAGTGCCCGAACCCTCTGCAGTAGCAGCACTCAGGAGCTGCCAACCCAGCACTGCAGCAGTGGGAGACGAGTGTGGGGATGCTGGTACTGGCCATACTGGGAAGGGAACTGGGTTTGGCATCCAGTTACCCAGGAATTGGAATAAGCCTCTGTGTCAGTGAAAAAAGGCTGGAGATGAAAAGGTACAAATGTGCAGCACTGCAGCTCCCTCTCTACATCTCTGTGCTGGCTGCAGGGGAACTGGGCAGGGTCCTCCCTTGCTTCCAACACCTGAGCAGTGATTTCCAAGTGGGAAGGGGAAGTAACTTTTCCAAGGAGCCTCAGCCACAAATGCAGGACAGGTTAAAAAGCTCCAAATGAAAAGGAGGAAGTTCTGGAGGCTGTGACAGGTTTTAAGCACTCCAGCTGTGGGGTGAGGAATTTTTCTTTCCTGCTGGATTGCTGTTTTGTTTTCCATTTGTTCTGGGCTGCTTTTCCTGACAAATGGCCCAACGGATGCATGGAGCAGCCTGATCACAGCAGCACACGGCACTGGTAAGAGTGACAGCCCCTAGGCCTGAGAAGAGATGTCTGGAGGAAGAAATGCTGGACTGTAGTCCTGGGAAGAACTGGTCACTTCATCCCAGGGCTCCTGTGGGAGATGGACCTCCTCCACCTTCTCCAGGCAGTGAAAGAGGGGCAAGGATCAGAGCAGCACCTGGAGTTTGTGCATGGTCCTGGGTGGGAGCGAGGTACATGTGGCAAGGGACACTGGACAGTTGTGCCTAAAGGCACCTGCTAGTCTCCTGGGTGTGGAGAAACCATGCCTAGCCTTTAGGGATCTTGTGTTCTAGTAATCCTAAAAATTATCTTTTCCTGGATGTGTGTCTTTGGAAACCCACCAGACATGAGATGATGAGGAGCCCACGTGCAGCTCTGAGATGAGCTCTCGGGGGCTCAGGTACCCCTACCATGAGCCTGGGCAGCACCCCATGGGGACACGACACCGATGCAGTGGAGACATGGGCAAGGCACCCAGGAGGCAGCAATGGTGCAAGAGGAGGAACAGGAGGGAAGGAGGCAGCTGGACTGCCCTGGAGAGCCCTCTGCCTGACATGGATCCAGCTGGCAGGTGCCAGCACCCGTGTCACCTGCTCAGGGCACTGCAGGTACCAGTATGACAGCACGGCCTGGCTGGACTCAGGCCAGGGCATCTGCACCGTGGAGGCTTTGCTGGAGATCAGTGCTGGGAGTTGGTGCTGCTGGCTGCAGGTGGTGCTGGGCTGTGCCTGAGGAAAACTGGTCCAGGCACACCAGCAGCTCTGGCAGTGACCATGGCAAGAGCAGGGCTCTCCATGCTCTTCCTGCCTGTGACTGGCAGCTGCCCCAGAGCTCCCCGAGTTGTCCCTCTAAACAAAGCATCTTATTTCTCTTCCTTATTCTCCTTTTGGTAATTGTTTTCTGACAAATCTGGCCATAAAATGAACAATCCATAAAACGGACCATCCCTGAGCTCATTGAGCCCTAGTAGGAGAATTGCTCTCTCTTCAAAAAGCCACAGGAGCTGTGCCTGCCCTCTGCTCATGGCCTGGGGGCTTCATGGGTCCCTCCCAACCGGAACCCTGCTGGGGTCCTGTCTGTGACCCCGGCCTCAAGCTCCGAGGGAGCTGGGGGACACTGCCAGGGTCATGGGAGCAAAGCCAGGCTCTGCAGGAGTGCACTGGGTCTGTGGTAGCTTCGGGGGTCCTGGCAGGATCTTTTTGGGGTTCACAGCATTGTTTGCTGTCACTGTAACATGTGAGCATCAAGGCAGCAGCAGGTCAGAGCCTGTGACTTCTTGCTACATGTGCAGTCCGTGTAAAAGTAGTGGCAGCAAACCAGATGTCATGCAGTGTGACAAGCACTACCTGTCTCACCTGGTCCTGCTCCTGGCATGCCAGCCCTCCAGGTATAGATGGCTGCCGACCCAGGGGCTAGCAAGCCTCCCCAGGAGGAGTGGGGCAGTCAAATCATGGAGACATTTCCTGCTGCTCCTCTGCCTGTCCCACTGTCCAGATGCCTCTGGGCTGGTGGCTCCACACTGGGACCCATGGCATGGGCACCCCAGTGGGGTCTGAGTCAGCATCAGGAGATGCTGCAGCCCAGCATCATGCTGCAGGGACATGGGGCGAGAAGCTGATGTCCTCCCAAAGCCTGGGAGAAGGGAGGGAGAGAACATGCAGGTTCCCTCATACCTTGGTCACCAACAACTGTGTTTGCATGGGAGGAGTGGGAAGAGGATGCATAGCTCTCCTGTGTCCATCACCCTCAGAGCAGGCGCAGGCTGTTCTCTGGGGCTTTTCCACCTCCCCGCAAAATTTAACATGGAAAGTGTGTTGCTGTGCTCCCTCCCCAGAGTCTTTGGGACATCCCATCTTGTTTCACTGCTCCTTGCTTGCTGTGAGCAGCCCTTGGCTCAGGATGGAGGTTCTGTCTGTGCTTTCCAAGCTTTTGAGCACCTCTGCCTCCTTCTGCTCCTCCTGCAGGTGATGAAGCTGCGGAAGTTGGCCCAGCAGGTTGCCAACTGCCGGCAGTGCCTCGAGCGCTCCACGGTTCTCATCAACCAGGCCGAGCACATCCTGAAAGAGAACGACCATGCACGGTTCCTGCAGACCGCCAGGAATGTGGCCGAGAGGTGGGCTGGCCCCTGGGCTCAGGACAACTGGACTTGTTCTCTGGTCGCAGGTCCTTGCCCAGGGATGATCTGGTTCCCTCAGGTCCCTACCCAGGCATGCTGCATCCCCCACTGTGCTGCCCTCAAATAAACTCCAGGGTCAGGTTCCCCGTCCCTAACACCTGCTGTGGGAACAAACCGTCTTCCCTGGGATGGGGAAGTGGTGGAAATAGCAATCCAAAGGGTGCTCAGGCTGGGGTGCACCCCACTCTCAGGGAACCTGTCCCCTGGCTGAGCTGCCCTCCTGGGTGAGAGCAGTGGTTCGTAGGTACAAGGTGGTTTCTTGACAGCAAGTAATGTCATGGCAAGGCTGCCCACACCCCTCTGCCCCCCATTGCCGTGCTGGGCGTCGGGAGCCGCGTGCACCCTGGTGCGTACTGATGGTCCTTTCTTTCCTTCCAGGGTCGCCATGGCAACTGCATCCTCGCAAGTTCTGATACCAGATATCAATTTTAATGATGCCTTTGAAAACTTTGCTTTAGATTTTTCCAGAGAGAAGAAGCTGCTGGAGGGACTGGATTATCTAACGGGTGAGTGCACAGGCGCACTCCCCTCTGCTGTGACCCACACCTTCCCCTCAACCTCTTCCCTGCACCCCACCAGGGGCTGCCAGATGTATTTTAAGGCTTGACCAGTAACAAATGCCTGGTCAGTTGTGGCAGAGCAGGGGCCATGCTGCCCCCAGGACAGTGATGCATCCCCATCCTGCTGTTTCACTCTGCTGCTCCTGGAGGGTCTATGGAAAAGTCCAGAAAGCCAAAAAATTACCCAGCACCCGGGAAGGAGGCTGATGCCCATAAGAATGCAAGAGGGATAGGGATTACATAAGGATCCATAATGATTACAGGGAGGGAATGATAAATTAACCAGTTATTATACTTCTAACCCACTCCATGCTTTAACATTTCCCTTTTCCTGCCCTTTTTGTCAGTCTCTTGGTGCTAAATTATGAACCTTGGTGGGCAGGACTTCGCTGGGCCCCTTGCTGCTGTCCTGATGCTGCAGCATGGACTGAATGCTGCCCATGGGGGTCCAGGAGCAGTGACAGTTGCTGGACTATGCTGTGCTGGAGAACTGGGGGGATGAAAGCTCCAGAGAGGAGAGGACATCCTCACTCATCCAAATCCGATTTTGTCATTGTGAAGCAGATGAGCTTTCAGTGAGAGATTAACACAAACACGTGTCCAGATCAGTTACGGGATAAAGTACTTATCCAACAACCAGTCCTAGGAAATAGTGGATTTGGAAGTGGGTTCTCAGCCTGCTTCAGGGTGGGGATGTCAGACCTGATGGAGCAGCAGTGAAAACCCTGCACCCTGGTCCCTGGATGCTTTGTTAAACTAAAAAGTTTAGTTCAGTGGGAATCACAATGAGAGGTAAAATGAGAGCATTGTTGGTGTCAAGAGACTCTGCTCTCGCCACGAGCCTATCTTTATCCTTATGGGAGCAGAAAAGCCCTGGGTTTTTAAGGAAGGAAAGCCCTGACTGACCAAAATCCGTGGTCTGTGCCATCCTACAGCACCAAACCCGCCATCGGTCCGTGAAGAGCTCTGCACAGCCTCCCACGACACCATCACTGTGCACTGGATCTCGGAGGATGAGTTCAGCGTCAGCTCATATGAGCTCCAGTACACCATCTTCACCGGCCAGGCCAACTTCATCAGTAAGTCACTGTGCGCTGCAGGGGCCGCAGTCCCCTTTGGGAAGGAACTCCATGTTGCCCAGAGAAGCTGTGGCTGCCCCATCCCTGGAAGTGTTCAAGCCCAGGTTAGATGGGGCTTGGAGCATCCTGCTCTAGTCGAAGGTGTCTCTGCTCATGGCAGGGGATGGAATGAGGTGAGCTTTATAAGGTCCCTTCCAACCCAAACCATTCTGTGACTGATTTTATAAGGAAAACGTTCTTGGGAAGCATCATTGGGTTTAAAGGCTGGAAATCTGGGAGGGAAACGGGAGCAAAGGATCTACCAAGGGCTGTGATCAGAGCAAGGGAGGCCTCCCCATTATGGGGGTCCGTCCTTGAGCTGCTCTGCCCCACAGTTGGTCTTGACAGCCCCAGCTCGGTGGAGTGTTGGAGAGATGAGACCCTCAGTGGAAAGTCTCATCCATCTCACAGCTCCTGGAATAGAATCTCCTGATCTCCTGGTCTGGAATCATACAGACAGGGCAGCTCTGGCTGCTCTGTGGCCAATCATTAACTTGGTTTATCAACCCTCTGCAACAACACTAAGGCACGTTTCCAGGGAACTTTTCCTGAAAAATCACTGCCATGCCTAACTGTTTTTCCACACCACCACAAATTTGCCTAG